CAGAAGCCACAGTGTCACTTTGGGGGCAGAAATAATCCTTTCCTGGTCAACAAGATGAGAGTCCTGAGGAATCCTAGCGAAACCTGGAGAGTGTTTTCCAGTTAGACTCAGTCCAGAGACCTCCATGGGAATCTCTGATTACAACAGGCTTTGAGTTCTGATGGGAGCCAAGGGACAGGCTCGCCCATGGCCAGGGTCCTTAAAACCTGATGGCTTTCACAGCTATCTCCCCTCATCTTGTAAAATTATGTACATCTGACTCAGACTGATTCAGTTAACCCTGTTTTTGCGAATCCATTTTTCTTCCTTGTAGACTCGATTCTCACAGTCTTTCTTCTTCTCTTCCCTGAAAACAGAGGATGTGTTTTCTGTAGTCATAATCCCAGGGCTCAGGTCTGCAGGACCTGGGTAGGCTGAGGGGCTTTCTCACTCACCATTGCCTGGATGCTCCTGTTGTCTTCTGTGTATGGAGGTATTTGGGAAATGAAGTGGACATTAGCCATGAAGGGAATATTAGTTTTCTAAAATGGGTTATTGATGTAGAGCTGATCTTGGGCTTCTCACACTGTCATGCAGTATAACTTTGAGGAAAGCTGAGGATAGACACTCCATTGTGCTGTGAGCTCTGGGTAACAATAATTATATGGTCTGGCTAGGCATGCCTAATAAGGTCAATAATGCTGGCTATCGGGAAAGACAGGCTGGAATTCCTGGGAAGACCTGCATCTGCCATCCACCATGTGTCCCATCATCTTCTGTTACGCTCTGATTCAATCAGCTCCACCTAGATTATCTAGAACACTCTTTGTGACTTAGAAAAAAAAAATGGCAGGCTCTCCTAACACCTGTATGTTGCCATAGGAGCAACACCTGGGTTAGTGTGTGATTCAGGAGATGACACTATGGTCTTGTCAAGGTGACATGTAAAATTGACTGTTGCCATCATGATATTTTTATATTTGGTAATACGATCATCCTCATATTATAAATATTTTTCTACATTATTTGTGTCAGAGGCTTTGGAACAAGAACAACTCCGCCTTAAATAAAGGTGAGGAAAATAAGACTGAGACCTGCTGAACTACAGTCTCAGCAAGTTAAGGCGTTCTTAGTCACAGGATACCCAGCAAGTCTTGTGCACATCTGGCCCTTATCCACACTATCTTTGTGTCCCTTGGAAAGGGTAGAGATTTGCCTGACTGTAGAATCCCTCAGACAGGCACACGCTGTCCCCATGTGGACTCTCCCCTCAGACAGGCACACGCTGTGCCCATGTGGACTCTCCCCTCAGACAGGCACACGCTGTCCCCGTGTGGACTCTTCTCTCAGACAGGCACACATATGTCCACGTGGTTAATATCATCTGCTGGGTCTCTGTGCCACGGGGATCCCTGTTCTCACTGGGGCACGTTAACACCTCAATTCTCATCCACACTGTGGTCTTTGATGTCTGTGGCCTGCATACCCTGTGTGTCTCTCAGTGTCCTGAATAGTGAAGTGGTCCACCAGGGGGATGGAGGAAGATCTCAGATTTCTCTGTGAAGGAGACAGAATGGAAACCCCTCACATCCCTGCTGGGTCATGTTCTGGGCTATGTCTTTGAAGGCACCCCTGGGACAGTGTCCTAAGATGTCTTCCTGTTTTCCCATAGGAAGGACCCACAGAAAGACAAATAGAAAGGTTTTCTACTAGGACATCATAGAACTTGTGCTTTACTTATGTAACAGACAAATATTTTGAATATTCTTAAATTAGGTATGATATTAATTCTAGCAAACACTATATATAGATAAACATATATATATGGTATATGTATATATATAATGTATATATAGTGTATATGTGTGTATATATATACTGTATATATAATGGATATGTATGTATATATATATTATATGTACATATAAAACAAAATTTTATGATGTCTTGAAATTTAGGGCTGTATATTTGTATATATGCCAATATACATCTTGGTGGACATGATAAAATTAATTCTAATATTTTTGTGCGAGATGATCACTTTCAAACAAGGTGTAACAGGGGAGATGCTTATTTCAACCAGAAATAATTATGGAGCACAGTGAAATTTCTTAAACACGATTTTATGATATGCGACATCAGGTAACAACACAGTAATTGCTGCGAGAGAGAAATTAATGAAAGGAGACTTCTGTTGAATGCACACTCAGATTCTTCTTTAAGGGAATTTCCAGGCCACAGTGCTGGAGTGGGACCCGGTGAATATGAAGTTGAGGAACAGGAGCTGAGATCCCAGACAGGTCGAGAAGTATGGAGTCCACAGATTAGACAGTGGATTGCAGAACCCTGTTCAGAGAGTGAGCCTCACAAATGACAGGAGGGAGACTCAGCCTTGATAAGAGTGCAGCTCAGTGTGTGGAAACCAGGCAAGTTGTACATGAGGACATGCCTTGCCACAGGGAGCTCCCCTTAAAATCTAAAACTACCCTAAAATATAAAAATATTTACTTAAAAAATTTAAAATATGCAGAAAGATCCCATGATAAAGACAAATAAAGGAGAGGTGGACTTGCTATATTAAAATATGAAAAAGTATATTTCTGAGCAAATGATAATACTCATGAGGGCAGACAAATTTATTCCATCATGGAAAATTATTTTTCAAAGAGCAACATTCAAAATGCTTAGGGCCCTAATGAGGAAGCCTCAAACAGAAATATGAACAGAGTTATCTCATTACCAGAGTGATGGCATGAAGAGCCTCAAGCTTTCCAATGAAACAACTACATCTGGTAAAAACTATAAAAACCCAAACATTTGAAGTCAATGCAAATTATTCTAAGCACATACCGTAAATAAAAGTCACTGACTGATAAATTGTGCTTCTCTAGACCGAATAGTGATGACTGCCATGATGCACTTGTTGGCATCTTCACCCGAATAGAAGGTTGGGGCCTTAGGTCTTCTTTGGAAAGTGGTCAGGCTCCGTCCTCATGAGTGGAATTCGTGCCCTGATACGAGACCAGAAATCAAGGATATGGTTTGACTCTGTGTCACCACCTAAATCTCACCTTGTATTGAAGTAATTCCCACATGTCAAGGGTGGAACGAGGTGCAGATAATTGAATCATGGGGGTTGTTTTCTCCTTATAAAAGTGTCAGATCTTGTGAGAAAGATCTGAGCTTCCCTCTTCACTTGGCACTTCTCTCTCCTGTAGCCACGTGAATAAACACCTTCACATCATGATTGTAAGTTTCTTGTGGCCTCCTCAGTCATGCAGAATTGTGAGTCAATTAAACTTCTTTCTTTATAAATTATCCAGCCTCAGGTATGACCTTATAGAAGCATGAAATCATAATTGAGGTACAGAAACAGCAGGATTGGTTACAGGTTGGATTCTGCAAACTACTCTCGGCTCCTTGAGCTCTGTCCTAGAGTTAATTAAGAGAAACTGAGGCCAGCTGTGAAGAGCATAGGCTCGGATACTGGGACTCACTCATGCCAGATATGAGCCCTTGGACACACACATAGCCCCTCCATGTGTGGGTTCACAACCATAACTGAAGAAACCACTGACTCCTAAATGACATAATTTACACACATAGGTAAAAATTACTAAAAATGTGATAGCTGTTAAATGTTTATCACAGATACTAAGGTTTTAAAAAGCTGCATACCTCCTTCAAAATTTGACCACAAGGAAAATCCTTGTGGACCAAGGACAGACAGAGTCATTTCTCTGCTCACGTAAGTTAAACGCGTACCTCACTGCTACATTGGCTCTATTGTTTCACTAAGCCAGACTAATGCCTGCATGACTATTCCTGTAAATTGTGCATTCAGTTAAAGGCTAATCAGAAACTCAAAAGAATGAACCATTTGTCTCATACCTACCTATGATCTGAAAGCTCTCTCCCTACTTCAAGTTGTCCTGCCTTTCTGAACCAAATCAATATACATTTACATATATCGATTAATGTCTCATGTCTCCCTAAGTTGTATAAAACCAAGCTGTGCCTGACACCCTGGGCACACATCATCAGGACTCTTTCAGGCTGTGTCACTGGCATGTCCTTAATCCTGGAAAAATGAATGTTCTAAGTCTATTGAAATTAGTCTCAGGTATTCTTTGGTTTACAGGTTTCTTTCTTATCTCAGAACTTAAATTTTCTGAAATATTATGGAAAATTTAGCAAATAGCACATTCTCTTGTTTATCTATTACTGTTGTTGCAAAAAGTATTTATATAATTTATATATAATTTATCATCTATGTACATTAAAAAACTGAGTAGCAGATTTAAAATTAAAATATCAATTAGCAACTTAATAGAAAAACAAATTATGCTACATTTGTTTACTAAAATGCTACCCAGTATTTGTAAGAAATAAAAAAACACAACATAAAAGGTATAATTCTCAGTATTTCAATTGAGAAAAATAAGCCAAATATAAAAGAGTATATACTGCCTTATTTCATTCTTATAAATTCAACAAAATAAAAACGAGTTTAAAGAAATAGGGAAACATGAGTAGTTTTATAAAGACGTGGTAGAAGAACGGAAGGAGAAAAAAACAAAAAAATATAAAAGAGCAAGAAGAATGCTGGGGTAGGGGGAGTTGACTTGTCATCTTTTTGAAAATAGAGATTTGTTTCAAAGTTTACTATTGTACAGGTTAAATATGTGAATTTTATCATCTGTCAATTGAAACTTATAAAATTTATTACAAGTAAACAGCTGAAATTTTAGACATAAGGGATGACAGGAAGGAACAAATAAATATGTTAAAGGTCAGGTACACCTAAAATTTGTCTGCCTGACACCTAGCTGTCTCTGAATTCATAGGTAAATGCAGCAAAATCACACAGGGTCTTGTTACAGGAAGTGGATTCTGCAAACCACGCTAGGCCCGTTTTGCTCTGTCCTGTGTTGGCTAAGAGAGCAATTGAGGCCAGCTGTGAAGAGCATTGTCCTGGATACTGGGACTCACTCATGGCAGATATGAGCCATTAGACACATACACAGCCCCTCCATGTGTTGGCTCACTTTTACATCTGTAAATGAAGAAAATACTCCTAAGTAACATAATAGATACACATGGGTAAACATAATTAAAATGTGAATGTTGTCAAATATTTATCACAGAACGTTTTCACAATAAGACAGCATGTTTTCTCAAATTCAATCATTGTCATCTAAATCCCCCAGGACACTCTCATCTGCTCTGGGCTCTGTCCTCTTATCAGGCGTCCAGCCCCAGAGCTTGCTATAGTAGGAGGCATGCAAATAGGGCCCTCCCTCTCCTGATGAAAACCAGCCCAGCCCTGACCCTGCAGCTCTGGGATAGAAACCCCAGCCTTGGGATTCCCAGGTGTCTTTATTCAGTGATCAGGACTGAACAAACAGGATTCACCATGGAGTTTTTGCTATGCTGGGTTTTCCTTTTTGCTTTATTAAAAGATGATTCATGGAGAAGTAGAGACATTGAGTGTGGGTGGACAGGAATGAGAGGAGCAGTGGGTATGTGTGGCAATTTCTGACCACAATGTCTCTTTGTTTGCAGGTGTCCTGTGTGAGGTGCAGCTGGTGGAGTCTGGGGGAGGCTGGGTTCAGCCCGGGGGGTCCCTTAGACTCTCCTGTGCAGCCTCTGGATTCACCTTCAGTAGCCATGACATATACTGGGTTCGCCAGGCTCCAGGGAAGGGTCTGGAGTGGGTCTCAGCTATTAATTCTAGTGGTGTCACATACTATGCAGACTCTGTGAAGGGCAGATTCACCATCTCCAGAGACAATGCCAAGAACTCTGTGTATCTTCAAATGAACAGCCTGAGAGTGGAGGACACGGCTGTGTATTACTGTGGAAGACACACAGTGAGGTGAAGTCAGTGTCAGCCCAGACACAAGCCTCCCTGCAGAAACGCTGCAGGGAAATAAGCTGCAGGGGGTGCTCAGGAGCCACTGTTCAGAGTCAATCCCAGCGGCAGGTGCACACGGAGGCTGATTTCCTGTCAGGATGTGGGACTTCATCTTTTTACAGTTTCTCTAGGGAACCTCTCTAAGTTTAGCATTCTGTGCTTAGCAGTGTCATCTCTACATATTTTAAAATGATTATTTTAATTTGAGAACCTATTCTCATCTGCACAAAATGCAGACTGATGCTTAGAAATGAAAAGTCCTCAACCGTGGTCACCAGGATCAGCATCTTGAGGAAACTCAGGAGTTCCTGGTGAGTCTTCTCCAATCAGACTCAGGACAGAAACCTCTGTGAGGTTCCATTCCCTGACTAGAATGGTCTTTAGGAAATTTGATCACAGCCAATGGCGAGGCTGGGCCAGGGCCAGTGTCATTTACAATCTCACATGCTTCACGTCTGACCCTTCTCCTGACACTAAAGGAGGCAAGTCAGCATCAGCACTGAACCAGGGCCCCTTTTGCGAATTGCCCACTCTATTTCTTTTTATTTGTTGTTGTTGTTCTTGCTTTTCCTTGTACTCTTCCTGCTCCCTGTAAAGTGGGGATGGGGTTCTTGCTGCCAATGTTCCAGGCCTCCAGCCCTTTCCCTGCAGCTCAGGCGGGGCTCAGGCTGTGCCTCCCGCAGCCACATGGGAGAGACTGATGAGACTTTCCTCTCTCCCATTGCTCAGCACCCTCCAGTGTGTTGTCTGGAGACTCACCTGGAATGCAAGTGGCCAATAGTAGTGAAGCGAATGAGCTTGTGTGGTCAGAACGGGATGTGGATGTGAAATTTATCCCATGCTGGTCAAGCTATCACAGACTCACGTTCCTCACCAGTAGTGTTAGAAGGAGGGTGTGAAAGTTGTCAGAGTCAAAATAAAGCCACTTGTGTTAACACTCTGACAAATGGAACTAGGAGTAACATGCAGGGGGGTTCTCAGGCACACTCTCCTAATAACGAGAACTATCATAAATGGATGCTGCTTAACCACAGCCTTGGATAGAAGCCACCACAACCTTACAAAAATCTCTTCCACTAGGAAATCTTCCCAGCAACTCCCTGTTTAACCCTACACTGATGCCACCCTTGGTACTGATTCTACAAGCACAGGATAATCCTCTGAAAACAACGTATGTAACCCACCTCATTTTCACTTCTTAATCCTATGGATTGACAACCCGGAGTCACTGCTATGTGTGTTGTTGATGTTAATAAGCCTATTTTACAATATTTGAGGCTGTTTTTCTCTGATATCTCTTCTAACATAAAGAATTCCAAGTTGATGCCAATAAAGAAGCTAGTTAGGAAGATGTGATGGGAAGGCATCTTTAACACCATGTGAAATGTTTCTGCATAGTACATCCATCCCCTAAAATACCTTGCTGCATTGGCATGTGATGAATCAGAGTATAATATTGACAGTAAAATGGAAAATACATGGGCTTTTGATGAATCAAGTGAAAGGGTGATAATATCCATGCCTTGAGGGGGCAGACCATGGGTAGTAAGTTCTAGTGGGAGTACTTTTGGCAAAGGGAGTTTCTGAGTTTCTGAACATCATGCTACTTTTAAATTATGAATACAATTTATGATTTACTTTAACTGAAACCTATTCAGAAGATTTTTGACAGTAAGGGCAGAGAAGCATTTGTGTACTACTAATGATTTAAAGAGTTGTTTGTAATTGCTCCTGTAAAGTATGCACATTGCTCACTTGATACAGTTCAAATGTCACAGTTGGGAAAACAGGAACAAAGCAAATTTCATGAACTGTCATGGCTGTACTTTTGACAAAGAAGTGCTTCATGTCAACCTGAAAACAAACAGACAACAATAAAACATATTCAAATCCACAGGGAGTCTGATCGCTTTCCCTCTCTCTTATAAGTACAAGGCCTTGCCACATACAAATTATTTTCAGGCTCCAGGATATAAAATGCTTTTGGACTGTGGAAGCTAGCAGCTCTCCCCTCAGCCAAAGCCCAAGGTATCTGGGGAATGCAGAGTTGTGCTCATGAAGAAGATGGCATTATTGTGTCTTCCCCTGTGCCTGGCGAGAGCTCCCCAGGGTGTGTCTTAGATGTCAGACATGGGTCTGTGGGGTGAGCAAAGGCACTTGTGACAGACAGGCATGGATCATCCGTGTACTCACATGCCCTGTCCTAGGAGAAGCTGCAGGAGTCAGCCCTGGACCTGAAGAGCCCACACTGTCCCTCTGCCTCACCTGCACTGCATCTGGCCACTCCATCACAACCAGTTCTTACTACTGGACTTGGATCTCCCAGCTCTCAGGGAGGGGCTCAATGGATAGAATGCATTGGTAGTGGTTGTGGGAATCCACTATTCTTGTGGGAAAATGGCAGCATCTCCTTATTTTATAAGGCAGAATAATGTTGTGTACACTTACCACATTGTCTTTATCCATTTGTCCATTGACAGACACTTAGTTTCTATATCTTGGCTGTTGTGAATAGTGCTGCAAAAAGCCTAGGAGTGCAGGGTATCTTCACAAGGCGGTAATTTCATCTCATTTGCGTATATTTTCATAAGCAGGATCACTGGTCATATGGTATTTCTGTTTTAATTTATTAAGGAGCCACCATACTGTTTTGCATAATGGTGGGAATATGGAATATCGTAGCCACTGTGAGGAACAGTTTTAGTTCTGAGGTATAATCTAAAAACAACTAATGTTTGATTATAGTTCTTCATATGAGGCTGTAATAAATCTAGTCAAAGTCCAGAAATTTTTACCACATTGGGAAAGGATAAGTTTGCCCCTAATTATCTTTGAGGGAGAAGATTGTCAGAATGTGAGATGGAGGCTGTAGGCAGGATTCAGGATGATTCAGTAATAAATAGTAATGACAGAGGAAAACAGAGATACAGAGACATGAAGAGAGAAAGAGAATATGAAGCAATAAGAGTAAAATCTGCTGAATACCAGTGTGGGCTTTTCAGTCATAGACACATCTACATGAGCGAGGAACCATGAAGTCAAGTGAGGCGCGGAGAACATGTTCAATTTAAATCAACGTATTTTCAGAGACACCCATTGCCCCGTCACATGGATGAGAAATCTTTCAAACCAGTGAAGTGGGAACTCACAGTAAGTCATGAAGTTACCATGTTTTCACAAACTTTCATTAATATGTCAAGGACTTCTACAGATCACTCATATACAAATATTCAAGATGTGTTTGTGCATTTATGGATGTCTAGAGAAAAATAATGTTTTGAGAAAGCTTTTTCAAGTTACAGAGATCTGCTTAAGTTGGAGACCTCAAAGGAGAGTGTCTGTGAGTGAATACTGGTCTATCACTTAAATAGGTCAAAATTCCCTCTGTTGGAGTAGCCTTCCAATTACATAGATTTCTTTATTGCTTCTTGAGTTGTAAAACATAAACCCAAGGATTGACTTAGTGGAATTTGACTGCTGTGTTGATAAAACTTCTGATGAGGTTTCCTCCAGTGCTTTGAGAATAGCTTTCCTATTTTTTTACTCCAGAAAATGAATTTTCACGAGCTCTCAGGACATCACATTTCAGGTGCTTTAGTTAAAGAGACTGACTTCCTAGGGACAGGCTGCTTTCTTCTAACCATGAGCTCACTTCCACATACCATTCAGGTCGTAGCTCTATTATCAAGAATTATGAAGATGCTACACTTAAATGCACTGAAAATCCTGCCCTTCAATTAAATGTTGATTGGCATGGACATGAATTGGCCACTCTAGGATATGTGTCCTATGTTATGGGCTCAACCTATCAGTGGACTGAGAATCCTCCATTAGCTGCCTCTGATTGTGGCACAAAGCAGATTGACAATCCTCAGAGTCATCCATGAAAAAAAGAGTCCTATGGTTCATGGAGTTCTTGAAGACATTCAGGTGAGTGGAGGGGAGAAACAGGATTGGGGCTGCCAGCCATTCCAACAACACTGGAAATGATTAGCACCTAAGTATAAAGGTCTACATAATTCTAAACACCCTGCATGACAGGCTGACAGGAAGAAGTTCAGCCCCATAGCAGCTCCATAGCAACCCTTTAGGATACTTGGTAATGAAGCTGTTTCAGGGAAGAAATGTCTGCTCAGGTGAATCAGTGATGCTGCTCTGAGCTATAATAAACAGTGAATTGGACCCAGGTTTCTCTGAGTTCAATGTGATGATTACACTCGCTGCTCCAGTGTGTTTAAATGAGCATGTGACAATTTAGATGAGCCTGGCTGTGTGGTTTGTTCTATGTAAATCTGAGCCACATAAACACAGAGGGCTTGTCTGACCTAGTATGAAGGCGTGAAATCCTGGAGGCCCCACACTCCACACTCTTAATGTTTTTTTTTGCTCCACGAACCTCCAAGTTCTTTGGGTGAGAATTGAGATAGATTATTTCATAGCAAAGTCATAAAGACACCTAAACTCTGAGAAATACACAGAGAAACCTCTCCAGATAGACCATCCAGGGGAAGGACATTTCTAGCACCTTATCTATGTGGGGAAGGTCGTCCATCTCCATTACAAACCCCTCCCAGCAGCCTTCCTTTATCATGAAAATGGGTCAAATTCGCCAATAGGGTAAGAATCCTATAATGTTGCAGCCAGAAAAGGGAAAGCATCAGTTTAGGCTCTGGAGACTCTGTGTATATGTCACATTCCAGAGAAAGAAGTCCACTAAATTATTTAGATTCAATTGTAACAACATGTAACACTACCAGGATGCACAAATTGCCTTCTCACCAGTATGGTTATTCCGGATTAAAGATGAAAGTGGGGCAATGCACAGACTCTATCTGAGGAGGAGAACATAGGGAAAATGAAATAGAATGGCAGAGAACAAGACAAGGTCAGAAGAGGCATCTGAAGCCTCTGATATCAACTCTAAAGACAAGGTCTTGGTAACTTCCTCTTGACCGCAGTTTATTTTATCATGGGCACTTGCAGGGTTCCTAGCAGAGGGGCAAATAAAGAACTGCATGCACTTCCCAAGTCTTCACTTGTATCCTGTTTACACTGGATTTCTAGGAGATAAAAAGGCATAAACCTAGACCTAGTGTCAGTGCAGGAGGCACTTTCTACAGGCGAGATGCTGGAAGAAGGGAAAATGTGTGCTATTGGAAGAGAAGACACAGAGATGCTGTAATCTGAATGTACATGCACCCGCAGGCGTTCTCAGATGCAACGTTCAACTACAAGAACCTAATGAAGAAACGGGGGCCTCCCAAAGTCCTGCAAGTTCCTGTATTCACTGTGTGTCCACTGATTCAGAGCACCTGCAGCTTCAGAGAAGGGGCTGCCTCCTGTGTCATAGAATCTTTCCTTTGGGTCTTTCTGCAGAGTCCAATAGGTTTGGTTAAGCAATCAATTGTTTCAATAGAAGTGTTGGCAGCAGATATTGTCGCTGTAAGAGTATTCTAAACCAGGACACGGCCACTTTATGGTGGCCTAAAGACTCTGGAGGAAAACGCTTTGTGAGCCCTGACAGGAACCTGCTTGGAAGGCAAGGGCTGGGCTGGAGGGGGCGCTCAGGAGCCACACAGCACAGGGTCCAGCCCAGAGCAGGAAGCTGGAGGGAGGTTTCCTCTCAGGGCCTTGATTTTCTTTAGTCAGAAAAAAAAAAAAAATCTAAAATAACTTTTCTACAAGTTGCTGATGTGATGTTAAATATCCTGCTACAGTGGAACAATTCATGTAACTTGGGGCATTGAGAACTATTTTTTAAAGTAAGCTTCTAGGATTACAAATATCTTAATAGTGAGAATATGATGAATAGGGATGGTTTTACTAATTCAATGGATGCAGAATTGTGAAAGCCACTATATTCCTATAAAAAATTCACATTTCACTGTTAAGTAATGTTGCCTACATTGTGTGAGTGACAGGGCAGTGGAGGATCTGAAAGTGTGGCAGGTGCACAGACCTAGTGAGTCAGAAATCAATATGGAAAGGTGAGGATCTATGGATATGAACTGATAGTATGTAAATACTTAATGAAATTCTAATAAATGGAGTTCAAAAGTAACCTAAAATTATTCAAAACATAAATTCCTTTATGATTATTTTGGGTGCAGTGAGCTCATAAAGAACTCCAAACTCTGGTTCCATCATCTGATTACTATTGTCTGTGAGATGAGAAAATCAGCTGTAATCACACATCACAGGGCAAATCTGTAAACTAAGTGTGTTTCTATTAAAGATCCTGGGGGATCAGCCACCAGGCGGGTACTGGAGACACTCTCTCAGGAGTACCCAACAGATCTCAGAGGCACCTGCTGGACACTCACATGGGACATCAGCAGTCACTTTCTCAGAGTCACCAGTGAGCTGTGCTTGTATCAGATGGGTCCAGGATAGGGCTAAGGTATCTGCTCAGTGTCATGGAGAGCAAAGGTCCCAAAATGATCCGGGTGGTCTTTATGCTAACCAGATTTAGATTCACAGCGAAGAGCCTGTTCTGTGTGGTTTCATTCTTCAGTGAAAGGACCTCTGTCCACAAATGTTTGTAAATGGAGCAGGGCATGTATTTTCTCAAGCAGGATTAGGGCTTGGCCCATCAGCATCTCACTCTTGCAAGTCTCATCTGTCATTTATCTTCCCTTTCTTATCATGGATCAGGCTTTGAGCTATGAAATACATGCTCTGTCTCATAAATATGCAAATAAACTGAGATCAACTGAGGTAAATATGTTCTGTGCCATGAGAGCATCACCCAACAACCACATCCCTGCTCTGGAGAATCCCCGGAGAGCTCAGCTCCTCACCATGGACTGGACCTGGAAGATCCTCTTCTTGGTGGCAGCAGCTACAGGTAAGGGGCTCCTAAGTCCATTGATGAGAAGGGGATTGAGTCCAGCCAAGGGGGTTTTTATCCACTCCTGTGTCCTCCCCACAGGTGCCCACTCTCAGGTGCAGCTGGTGCAGTCAGCGGCTGAGGTGAAGAAGCCTGGGTCCTCAGGGAAGGTCTCCTGCAAGGCTTCTGGATACACCTTTACTAGCTACTATATGCACTGGGTGCAGCAGGCCCCTGGACAAGGGCTTGAGTGGATGGGACGGATCGACCCTGGTAATGGTAACACAAACTATGCGCAGAAGTTCCAGGGCAGAGTCACCATGACCAGTGACACGTCCACAAGCACAGCCTACATGGAGTTGAGCAGCCTGAGATCTGAGGACACGGCCGTGTATTACTGTCCGAGAGACACACAGTGTGAAAACCACATCCTGAGAGTGTCAGAAACCCCAGAGAGGAGGCAGCTGTGTTGACGTGGAGGAGACGACAAAGATTATAAGATTGAAAAATTTCTTAGGAAATGAGATGAAGTCATGAAAGGAACAATATAAATGTGTATTTGAGAAATTTTAATTATTTGAGATAGTTTTCATACAACAGATATTCTGTAAGTAAATATCAGTGATTGGAGAATTAATCAAATTTATAAAGCTGATATAGAACATCCTGTGAAGGCATCTTCCTAAACATCAATTTCTGAATCAATGTTGTAAATATTTTGGAACACACACACAAATCACATTTCGACTCTACTTTTATTTCCATTTTAAAAATGCCAAAAAATTCTCATTTTGTGCATGTAGCATTTTGAATTCCCAGCATCAATGCACAATAGTTCTTGGTTTTCCACATTCACATTGCCATTTACCATTCTAAGAATTGTGTATTTTAACCAATCTAATAGGCGAGTAATGGTATCTAATTTTTATTTAAATACATTTCCCTAATTTTAAAAAATTATGTTTAAAAAGTTTTCATATAATTTTTCATGAGATGCCTCTCTTGGTATTTGCTTCATTTTAGCTGCATTGTTTTCTTTTGATTAGTTGTAACTATACTTGCATATTGATTATAAAAGTAATTTAACTAATTAAAAGAATTAATTTAACAAATATGTGACTCGGAAGTATTTTCTCCAAGTCTGTAGCTGTCTTTTACTCCCTTATCAGTGTTTATTGTAGAAAAATATGTGTGTGTGTGTGTTTGTATAAATTTAGATTAAAAACATGTAAAATTTTATTCACCCATAGATCATGTCTGTGGCATTATACCTGAAGCCTCACTATAAAATACACTCATAGTAATTATTTTTCTCCATGTCTCTAATTTCAGTCCACAATCAGTTCCTGAGTGTTTAAGCTTCACCTGCTTGACTAGAGGACTATCAACCTAACATATTTGGAATACTTTTGTAAGGAGATGTGTTCTTCCCATTATTTTTTATTTAATCATCTATTAATATCCATATTGGTTTATGGATGTGTATTTCATACTCTGGAGAAGATCCATGGTACATTATTCATTTTATTGTTGAAATCACACATCTTTACCAGGTGCTGGGAGCTCATTTAGTTTGGATCCTGCATCCTTACAGCACACCTCATCCTTTTGTTTTTGAACACTTCCCTGCTTCCTGGTATTACAAGAAATTCTAAGCTCATTTTCTATATCAACTTTTTTGTACATAGAATCAGCAATTTTTCTAAAGATTGCTTGTTTCTGATGTTAAATAATAGTATTAAAATAAAAAATGGTGACACTGTGTATGTCTGTTGTTAATGTGGTTTAAGTACTTGTAGGGCCTCTCAACCAACTGGCCTACTAAATGTTCATGTTTATATGGACCCATGTTTTTGGACACATCGAAACTATTTATGTGTCTAATCTTCTGTAACTTTATTAAAAATGAGAACACACTTGTCTCTCCCCACAACTATGTCACCACATGGACCTTTCTAGCCTGCCTTCCTTGATGTCTGTAAATACCCACTGCAAAGTGAGGAACCCCATCCCACCATATGCCATTTTATTATTTAGCTGCACAATTTCAGGACATATGCATAGCAGTATCAGAAATGTAAACCTGTACCCTGGTTGGAAACATGTTTATCTACTAGAATAGAGTGTTTCTGTGTGGTTTCTTTGCAATTTAAAGCTCCTTAGTTCAACGACTTCATCTTCTACTCTCTTCACTGAATTTATTTCAATTACACTGTAAAATTCGATTTATTTGAAATTACATAAAAGCCAAAACTATAGTCAAGTAAACATATAGAGGATATTCCAGGAATTCAGAGTGTGGGTATAAAGAAAGTGTAAAAGGCACTGTTTAAGAAGAGTAAAAGTATTTTTAGTGATATGCAATATGAGACATTACACAATTTATCGAAGCATGTACTTTTGTGATGGAAAATATAAACCTAAATATATACAATTTAAAAAACATATTTAGCAGTTCATTTACCCCAGAATCAAATGCAGACTGTATAAAATTATCTAATAACTTATTTTGTGATAGGCGGGAAGTCTTGAGATGCCTGCAACAAAGAATGAAGTAATTTTACTCATTTGCATATAATATAAGATGTTACCATTCACTAAAGACTTTTAATTTAATTTAAAGCAAGTCAATTTTGTATGGGACTCAGGTTTTTTCTTCCTGACAAGCAAATAATCCACAAGATTCTTTTATTTCCTTGGTTGAGATAGATTTCCCCCAAGTTTCAGCTCAGTTTAGGCATACACTGTCCCTGAATGGGCATTGTGCACACACCTGTCAACATGTGGAACCTTCTATCCGACAAACACACCTTTACTCATGTGGATTCCTCCCTCAGACAAACACACGTGTTCCCATATGGACTCTTTCCTTAGACTACCCCATATGTTCTTATATTTACTCTTTCTTCAGAAAATAGACATTCCCTCATGCGGACTCTTGCCTCAGACAAGCAAACATGTCTCCATGTGAACTCTTCACTCAGATAAGTACACATATTTCCGCATTGACTGTTTCCCTACACAGGCACATATATCCAATGTTGAACTGTTTTGTGGCAAAATGATCTCAAGATAATGATAACCACAAACCCCCTCCCTGACAAGGTGTAGATCTGTGTTTTTTTCATTGTAGCCTAACTTTTCCTTATTGTCAAGAACTGTAGTTTGCAGTTGCAAATGCACCAATTAGAGACAGGTGTCAATTTTCTCTGGAAATGTATTTTTAGGTTCTCACTGGACGTACTTGTTGATAGTGTTTGCTACTATGAAGATACCTGAACAGTGTCCACATTAGAGAATAAGAAAGCAACAGGCAGATTACCCCTGTGGATCCGGACCCAGGAATCCTTTGACCCTGCCCTCCCTGAAATGTAGACACAAATGACGGATGAGCAATGCTGAGCGGTGCTCCAGGACCACAAAAAGAAAGATATGGAAATGCGTCCACACCCACCTCATAAAAGGCGGCTCATCCCTGTTCCTTGAGGCCCTGGTGAGGAGCCAACCCCAAGTCTGTGCCCTTCCTCTCTGTCCACACTGTGGGGTCTGCCCTGGTCTGGATTCCTTCTCATCACCCTCAATATTAATGCCCTTTGTGAATCAGGTCCAGCTGTGGCTGCTCCACATGGGGCTGTTCTCAGTCCCTTTTCTCTGTTCACAGAATTCCTGCGTGAAGTCTGCTGGTGGAGTCAGACAGGGAAACATTGTACAGCCCAGCAGTTCACTGAGACTCTCCTGCAAAGCCTCTGATTACACCTTTACTGGCTACAGCACCACCTTGGTCCAGCAGGCTTCACAGCAGGGACTGGTGTGGGTGGCAACATGAGTGACCAAGTGGGAGTTCTCAGGGTTACTCTCCATGAGCACAAAAAAATTAACATTCCCAAATGACACCCTTTCAAGTGCAGTCCACTTCACAACGACCAACCTGAAAGCCAAGGACAAGGCCGTGTACTGCAGTGAGGGACACAGGAGTGGGAACATCTGGGTGAGCCCAGACACAAAAATCTCTGCAGGGAAACTGGAGGGAACTGGGTGGCAGATGCTGCTCAGGACCACCAGGGGGTGCTAGAGTGGCCGGTAGGGCGTGCTTAGGACCACCAGGGGGCGCTGAGGTCACCATGGGAGCTCAGTCCACGCGGGTTCTCTGTGGAGGCAGGTTGACATCAGGAATCTGAGAGACTGGCTTCCTTTTACACTTTGGTAATTCCTGATCTGGTCAATTCCTCAGGGTCTCTCAGCATTTATTCCTTGTAACTTCATGATTTCTTTTACCTATGAAACATTAACTTAGAACAGAGATTTCTTTCAACCATTAATGCTGCATATTTTCCAACTAATACTAGCAATGATCTCTCATGACAATTATTCAAATAGGTTACTTATTTATTTTGTCAAATGGTCATAGTTTTCTCATCCAGCCTGCTGTTCCTGAACCACACTGTGTGAAAGCCCTCAGTAAACTCTATGTCTTGTTCACTGATCTGGGTTTATTTCTTTAGCCTATTGTACATGATGCCAGTCCTATTGGAGTCAATATTGGTTTGACATGACATCCAGTGAACCTGGAAAAAGGTAAACAAAAAGAAATCTCACGAGCACCCAGAAAATGAAATCTAAAAAGAGGACACCCCTACAGAAATCCTGGGCAGGCTATGAATTTCTATTTGGGGCCCAAAAGCTGCTGTCCATGATGGATGGGGCCGAGTGCATGAGTATAGGGATGCTGCCAAAATGCCGAAGGTTCTGGAAGAACCATCTCAGCGGGTGCCTCTTACAAAGTGCAAGTTAGATGCCCAAGCTGTTGCATTTGCAAATGGCTATTTTCTCCTGGCTGCACTCTGAGCAACCGCTAAGGCAGTGCTTACTGTTTAAGCTACAGTTAGTCAGTCACAAGAAGAGCTACTAGAAAAACATGCCTGACTAGCTCAGACTAATCAGAGACCTTTCTGTCCTGGGTGTGTAAGGAGAATGGTAAATTGGGGACGGTGGCTTGTTGAGCAGCACATTTGAAGGATTTCTGACCATCACACGAACTAGTTAGGGCTATGATGACTAAATTTTCATGGGACCCTAAGACCTAGGATCCCCTGAAGGGCTCTAGGCTGGACACAGTGGCACAGGCCTGTAATCCCAGCAACTTGGGAGGCCAAGGCGGGCGGATTGCCTGAGTTCAGGAGTTTGCAACCATCCTGGGCAACACAGTGAAACCCTGTCTCTATTAAAATACAAAAAAAATTAGCTGGGCCTGGTGTCACACACCTATAGTCCAAGCTACTCAGGAGGCTGGGGAAAAAGAATTGCTTGAACCTGAAAGGCAGAGGTTGCAGTGAACTGAGATCACACCACGGCACTCCAGCCAGGGCAAGAGTGAGACTCCATCTCCAAAAAAAAGAGCTCTAGTGGGGAGGAGGATGAATACTGGGGTAAGTCCATGGGGGTTCCGGTCCTCTCCACACATCTGGTGGCCACC